GAGGACTCGTGGCCCCCCGAGGAGGACGAGGCGGGCGAGGGGGACGAGATGGTTGGGTTTCGGCTGCGTGGCACGAGCTTCCTTCTCACCTACAACTGGGATTCTTTCGGCATGGATTTCCCGGGCGGCACTCCAGCGGCAGCGTCGGGCCCGCCCGGATCTCGCGCGAAGTGGTAAATGTGCGTCGCAGTATTAGTGGAATGCTGTGCGTGCCGATGTGGAGCATGGAAAACACGTGACAGTGACGCGACGTGCGTTGGCGGCGGTGGTTGCAAAAACGCTTGGCTCGGGCAATCCCCAGCGTTCAGACCCGTCGCCATTTCGGTTCGAAGCATGTCTTCGGCCACTCGGCCGAAGCTGGTTCAAGCGTTGAACAGGGCAGCGAAAGCAGCAGGCGTTCACCACTCGGAGCTACCCAGAGACAACGCCGCCAGGGACAAGGTAGAAGCACTTGCTCGCCTGGTTGAGTCTTCGAGCGCTGGGGCGGCGCAGAAGGCGGCGGTGGCCGCCGCTTACGAGGCCCACGAGGACTCGTGGCCCCCCGAGGAGGACGAGGCGGACGAGGAGGGCGAGGTGGTTGGGTTTCGGCTGCGTGGCACGAGCTCCCTTCTCACCTACAGCTTGGATTTTTTCGGCGTGGATTTCCCGGGCGGCGCTCCAGCGGCAGCGTCGGGCCCGCCTGGATCTCGCACGATGTGGTAAATGTGCGTCGCAGTATTAGAGGAATGTTGTGCGTGCCGATGTGGAGCATGGAAAACACGTGACAGTGACGCGACGTGCGCTGGCGGCGGTGGTTGCAAAAAACGCTTGGTTTGGGCAATCCCCAGCGTTCAGACCAGTAGCCATTTCGGTTCGAAACATGTCTTCGGCCACTCGGCCGAAGCTGGTTCAAGCGTTGAACAGGGTAGCGAAAGCAGCAGGCGTTCACCACTCGGAGCTACCCAGAGACAACGCCGCCAGGGACAAGGTAGAAGCACTTGCTCGCCTGGTTGAGTCTTCGAGCGCTGGGGCGGCGCAGAAGGCGGCGGTGGCCGCCGCTTACGAGGCCCGCGAGGACTCGTGGCCCCCCGAGGAGGACGAGGCGGACGAGGAGGACGAGGTGGTTGGGTTTCGGCTGCGTGGCACGAGCTTCCTTCCCACCTACAGCTGGGATTTTTTCGGCATGGATTTCCCGGGCGGCACTCCAGCGGCAGCGTCGGGCCCGCCCGGATCTCGCACGAAGTGGTAAATGTGCGTCGCAGTATGAGAGGAATTTATTGCGTGCCGATGTGGAGCATGGAAAACACGTGACAGTGACGCGACGTGCGCTGGCGGCGGTGGTTGCAAAAAGCGCTTGGTTTGGGCAATCCCCAGCGTTCAGACCCGTAGCCATTTCGGTTCGAAACATGTCTTCGGTCACTCGGCCGAAGCTGGCTCAAGCGTTGAACAGGGCAGCGAAAGCAGCAGGCGTTCACCACTCGGAGCTACCCAGAGACAACGCCGCCAGGAACAAGGTAGAAGCACTTGCTCGCCTGGTTGAGTCTTCGCGCGCTGGGGCGGCGCAGAAGGCGGCGGTGGCCGCCGCTTACGAGGCCTACGAAGACTCGTGGCCCCCCGAGGAGGACGAGGCGGACGAGGAGGACGAGGTGGTTGGGTTTCGGCTGCGTGGCGCGAGCTCCCTTCTCACCTACAACTGGGATTAGGCCATGAGGCCCAGGACAATGTTGGATTTGATGCCGACTTGGGAGTTCCAGACGCATACCTCACCCCCTTTAATTTTATAAAGGCCAAATGGAGCCGGCGTCTGAAAGTGGCATTCCGCCTAGGACTTCCTCAAACAAGTGTCAGATCGCCTTCCAGGGCGATCTGAAATTCCCCCATGCCGTCTGAAAGTGGCGATTTCGCCTAGGATTTCTTCACGAAAAGTTTCAGATCGATGTTCATGCCGCCTGAGAGTGGTCGTTTCGCTTAAGACGTCCTCAAACAGCACTGTCAGGTTGCCTTCCATGCCGCCAGAAGACAAAGATTTCGTGTGCGATGATTTCCATAACTTTGTGCTGCACCGCTCCACGTCCTGCGGAGCCGTTCCGTCATTCGGTTCACGGGCCTGCCTTGGAGTCATCTCGGGGTTCATCGATGGTGGAGGCTCGAGGGCCAGCCGACCGGCGAAACCCGCGGGGATCGCTCTCTCGCATAGTGGCGGTCACAACTTTTTAATCCAGAGGGTGGTTGCAAAAAAACGTTTGGTTCGGGCAATCCCCAGCTTTCAGACCCGCAGCCGTTTCGGTTCGAAACATGTCTTCGGCCACTCGGCCGAAGCTGGTTCAAGCGTTGAACAGGGCAGCGAAAGCAGCAGGCGTTCACCACTCGGAGCTACCCAGAGACAACGCCGCCAGGGACAAGGTAGAAGCACTTGCTCGCCTGGTTGAGTCTTTCAGCGCTTGGGCGGCGCAGAAGGCGGCGGTGGCCGCCGCTCACGAGGCCCACGAGGACTCGTGCCCCCCCGAGGAGGACGAGGCGGACGAGGAGGACGAGGTGGTTGGGTTTCGGCTGCGTGGCACGAGCTTCCTTCTCACCTACAACTAGGATTTTTTCGGCATGGATTTCCCGGCCGGCACTGCAGCGGCAGCGTCGGGCCCGCCCGGATCTCGCACGAAGTGGTAAATTTGCGTCGCAGTATTAGAGGAATGTTGTGCGTGCCGAATACACCAGTGGACCGACATGGCACTGCGCGAACCGACGACCTCCAGGAGCACCACAACACAAACATACAAGCAGGCGATCGAGGAGGCCGCAGCAGAGGCGCAACGCGCAAACTGGGGGCGGCAGCTTGCGACAGCCCCAGAAGGCACCCCTCGCGGATAAGAGCCAGCAGTCCGTGCGCGACGAACGCGGGGCAGCATTCAACGGGCAAGCGGCTCGCCAGAAGCGCGCGAACGCAACCCGCCGACCACCGGGCGACATTATCGCAGCAGCCGTGGGAACGACGTGTGAGATTTGCTTGACCGAGCACTGGGCGCCGAACCGCCTGCCGAAGCTTCTGGCGGCCACGCCTCGACGCGCCATTGCCTCTTTCGAACGCGGCGGAGATCCCACTTCCGAGGGGCTCGCCCCCAACATCCAGGAATGTCGACGAGTGCGACGAGCTAACGGAGCAGGAGGGGCCCGCGAGGACTGCGCCGCGAAGCCGCGCATTCAACGTCGCGGGCCAGCAAGAGGACTGCAAACAACGGCAGTCGACATCACGCGCGCGACGATGCCGATGGGCATGCTAAGAGATAGCACCATGGCAACACAGGCAGAGGGTGGACGAGATAACTTTAACCGAAGCCAAGCATATCCCCGCCATCACCGCGGGAGCGAAGGCGTAGAGAGAGACGGGCGTGAGCTGGGCCATGGAGACGTAGCGCGCGCAACGGGCGTTCTCGCATTCGCCGGCGGCCCACGATCTAAAGGTGATTTGCAGACGCAGATCGAATCGGAACTGGAAGAACAATACCAAGCCGCATGCACCTGGCGACGTCGACAAGCAACGACAGCAGCTTGGACAACAGCACCGCGAGCACTACCAAACACGACAAAGGCTGGTGGATACAGGCGATCAAGGATGGTGAAGTGAGCGCAATAAGAGTGGACGCGCCATTCGAAAGCAGCTCGGGAAGGCCAGCGCGCGCGATCCACAACGACCACGGGGCTAAAGGTCGGCCAGCCAGTGAATGTTAGAGCAGGTTTATCACGAGAGCGAGAAGATATATGATATCACTACGGTTACCTAAGACTGGGCAGCCAACGGCAGAGAATTACGATGGTTGGGCATCCCTGGGCTGGAGCATTTGATCGACGCAAATCGATTGACGCGCGCGACCGAAGCTATAACGAATATACCCCAGCCCGCGGATGGGACCCTTCGGAGCCAGGCGGAGGACATCTCGGCGGCAGTTTACATGGTGCGCAGACCAAATAACGAAGGCAAGAAGAAGCAATGCATGACGATACTCGGCCACCATGCTCCGCTCCTTCCGTTCCTGGACCACTACCACCACTGCGACAAGAGCACTGACCAGATGGGGGCCAATAGTCGCAGTCCTGCAGCCACGCACTTGGCGTCGACAGCGAACTGCACCACAGGACAGCGGCACTCGAAGGCTTGCCACCACAGCGCTCCGCATTGAAGGGTGGCGGCAGCTTCCTTTTCCTCCACATCGCCGCTGGCGCCGAGGGTGGAGAACAGGGATGGCCGCGCGCTGCGATGCACAAGCGCAGCGGGGGCGGCCGTCTCGCGTAGCGGCGCGCCCAAGTTCCCAAGTTCAGAAGCGCCACGGGCCATTTCGACCGAGGCGCAGGCCCACGCGAATGGCCCAAGGACGAGACCTTCAACTACGCCTCGAAGGAGCACAAGCGCGGCCCCCGCTACTCGAACTCCCGGGTCTGGGACCCCCCCTCAGCGGCTTGCGCGCCGAGCCCCCAAAGGAGGGGGCGCCGGAGGCCGCAGGTGGGGGCGGGGAGACGCGCATCGGCTTCCAACCTGGCCGCGGCAGGCCGCGCACAGCGGCTGCACGAGGCCCCTGGAGACCCTGCCCCCTTCCATGGTTCATGAGGCCCTTCCGGTCTCCCTTATTTGGGGTCTCTGGTCTCTTGGCCTTGCGCTTTTCGTCCTTCGGCCCCTCCCTGCTCCCCCTCGTGCCCTCGAGGCCCTTGAGGCTTCCTCGCTTTCCCCGCGCTGGGGGGCCCTCGGGCCGCTGCCCAGCATCAAGTGCCAAGGCCCTCCTACCACCACCCCGCACGCTGCCACTGCGAGATGGAGCGCGACTTTACCATCGGGGCGGTGGTGGGAGGACGTGGTGTAAGATCGCCTACAGTTGGTCCGTGTTTGCCTTTCGTGGGCTCCGTGACCCCTGCCTCCCTCTTCCCCTGGTTGCCTTTTAGGCTCACTGGCGCCCTGGAGGCTCCTCTCTCCCCTTATTCGGCTGGGGTTCCGCGAGTGTCCCCATGGCCGTTTGTGTAGCCCCCCCCCTATTGAGGCGTTCCCGATGATTTCGGACGTCTTCGAGGTCTGGGGAGGCTCCAAGCATGGCGCCGCGCGGCGGGCGCGGCGCGGGCGTCCGGACTGCGTAGGAGCAGGAGGAGGAAGACGAGGAGGAGGTTGCCGACGGGGTGCGCCGAGGAAGGTGTTGTTGACTTAGCTCCGTGGGCAGCGGGTGGAGTGTCAGGCCTGCTTTGAGCAAGAGGCTCCTGCAGGGCGCCGCCCACGCGAGTGGTTCAAGCTCCGAGATGCTTCATCGCGGCGAGTGCGCGCACTGCCCGGACAGCACGGGCATGCGCGCTGCGGTATTGCACCCGCGTGGCGGCCGCGGTCCTCGGCGGGCGGCGGGACCTCGGGACCTCCATCGCTCCGCGTTGCGCGGCCGACGAGGGAGGAGGAGAGGTGGGCGAGGAGAGCGGCGGCCAAGCAGGCCGCCAGAGGCGCTAGCCCGCACGGTCCCCGGGCGGGCAGGAGGGAAGGAGGAGGAGGAGCTGGCCGTGGGGCAAAGCCCTGGCGACTCCGCAAACTCGACGGGTTTCCTTGCACTTCACTCCCAAACAGGCTCTCAGCCCTTACCCCTGTTCTCTCATCATTCTCCATTCCTTGCCTGCTTGTCGTTCTACCCCGGCCCATCCCATCCTGTCTTGCTTGCCCTGTGCTGTGCCCTGTCAAGTCCCGCCGAGCTCTGCGATGCCGCATCTTGTCTCGTCCCGTCCCGATCCGTCATGTTCTACTTTGCCGCGCCCTGGCCCGGCCCTCCTCGATCGATTTCCTCTGCCACGTAGGCCTGACATGCCTCACTCGCATCAGGCACTTGCGGTCGCCATGCGCTGGTTACCGTGTGTGCGGCCATTAGACCGGTTTTGTGTTCGCAACATTGCCCCATTTGTCTTTGCCAGTTTCAGCTGGGTGACAGTTGATTGAATGCATTTGGCAATTGATTCCTTACGCTACTCTGTGTTGAGCCTCCGCGCGAAAACAAGAAGCTGAACGGATATCAAGTGTCTTATCCAGCAGACAGTCTTGATATTGATTATCGTTCTTTCCGTCGCGTTGTGTGCGTACATGGTGATTTGGTTTGTGTCTCACAAGTCTATATCCTCCAGGTGTGACATGCTGTAAGGGTGTAGTCAGTTTCTGTCTGCACTCAAACGCGCCTGGCCATGAGCGCATTCGGATCTCGAGCATTAGGTTTGAGCATATGTGGCAAGGCAGAGGCCAGAAGCGTTGTATTAGGCGAATAATGCGGGAGGACGCAGGCGGCCTCGGGTGGAGGATGAGTGTGCTCACAGGGCTGGTAGACTGGCTGTTAGCCAGCGCCAAACTAGGAAGAAATGCAGGGGCAGACAAGCCCCTCCCAGACAAGCACTCCCTCATGCACCTCCTCTCTCCATTTCATCCTCGCCGCAGGTACCCAAGCCGACCTGACTCCAGAGGCTTTGGGCGAGAGCCTCCAGACCAGGGGAAGGGGGCTGGGGTAGTAGTGGCTTCACGTGTGAAGTGCAGGGAAGGTCCAGACTCCTGTGCGAGTCACATATTTGCGCGTCGATGCGCCCCTTCTCACTCCCCGCCCGCATCCCGTACTTGTTCGGGATCCTTATCCCAGAATGTCGTTCAGGGGCGTGTCCATCTGCGCGTGCCCTTGGCCGCTTCGGTTCTAGACGAGCCAATCCTTGCAGTCGTGGTTACGCCATCGCCCTTCCGCTCGGCCAGAAAGGCCACCATGGAGGCCGAGATGCCGTCTTCGAGGCATCCGCAGCAGCTGTTCTTCGATAATGTCAGCCCTGCCACGCGCTTGTTGGAGAAGCGGCGGCAAATGTACGAAGTGCAGGACGCCCTGGAGACCCATAAGGCCCGCTTCGCGAAGGAGGAAGAGCAGTTCAAGAAGAAGGAGGAACAGCTCAGGTCCAAGGACCTGCAATTGCAGCACCAGCTCTTCCGCTTTAACAAGTTTTTGCAGGACAACGAGGCCCGAGTGACAACAAACATGCGAACGTTATCGTATCTCCCAGAAGGGGGTCTTCGATTTCAGGTGGGCTGTACACTTACGTGTGCCCAGTGGTGAGGTCCCGCCCCCAGAGAAAGCTTTCTTATTATGTACCGCCCGAAGCCCCCCTGATAGGCAAAGCGACGGCGGGCCGAGACCCGTGCCTCCGAGGAGGTCGCGCAGATCAAGCTAAAGGATGAAGAGATTGACGAGTTAGAAAGGCAGCTAGAGGAGAGTCAGCTGGAGTGCATGAGCCTGGAGCAGGATGTGGACAAGAACACGAAGTACGAGGAATTTCTGGAGCGAGTGAAGGAGACAGACGCCGACAATTATCAAAGATGCCTCTGGCGAGTGACCGCCGCCCCCTGTTGGCCAAAGGCACACACATGAGCATACGAGCATAGCTGCTGTTTGCGACCTCCTGGGCTGGTCTTCCTCGACGTGTTGGTGGCCTCTTCGGACCCTTTGCGCAGTCCTGGGACGCTCTTGGGGCGTCAGACGTCTTGGGGCTCTCGTTGGCAGTGCTGGTCTCCTCTTGGCCGTCTTCGGGGCCTCATGGGGCTGGCTGGGGCCGTCTTGGTTTCCGCCGTCCTGGACTTCCTGTGGGCCTTCTTGGGCAGCCGTTGGTCTTTCTGGGGGTCGTCCTGGGCCCTCTCAGTGCCATCTGAGTACCCTCTTGGGCGCCCTCTGGGTTTTCTGGGGCCCTCATGGAATCTTCCCGGACCAAACAGCGTGGAAGCCACGAAATCTTAGGGTGGAAATTAATGTTTGCCGTGCGAGGATCCTCTTGGGGCTCTGTTAGGGCGACTGGGGCTGCCTGGGAGGCGCCGTCGGCGTTGTCTTCGGCGGTCTGAGATCTACCTTGGGGCCTTCTTCGGCCGTAGTGGGTGCCTCCAGGATCATCTTGATTGGATCTCTAGGCATCCTGGAAGACGTATTGTGGAGTTGGGCCGGATGGGCTCGACCAGCTAACGGAAGCTTCTGCCGGTTCCTGGCGAAAGTTGTATGAAGAGGTTTGTGTGGAAGTGTAGGTAGACGAATTCTCTTTCCTCAGTGAGCACGTTGGTCCGAAGGCAGGCGCGCGTAGTTTGTTTGTCTCTGTCTCTCCCTCTATCTATGTACATATACGTTTTGTTTATGAATCTCTCTAGCTCTCTCTCTCTCTCTCTCCCTCTTTGTTTTCGTTGTTGTTTTCTTCTTCTCTCTCTCTCTCTCTTGCTCTCTCTCCTCGGTCTGGTGGACCACGTCCACCACATGGGGTTCAGAGCGACTTTTGGGAGAGAGCGCATGACCGTTCAGGCCAAAGCTAACATGTTGCACGTCGAGAAGGTTGCCAGCAACTTCGTCCAGGATGGAGTCGACGCAGGCCTCATCACCGTCATGGCCGAGCATCTTTAGCAGCGCGACGACGACTACGCACCAGCCCCACCGCGCGCCAGCTGGACCACCACAGAGCAGGGAAATAATTTCCCCTCCCCCTACCTAGACCCAAGCGGCCAGGCGGCGCGCGCACCCCCCCGCCTCGACGAGGATGGCTACCATGACCGTCCAGGGCACCCTGCACAGCGGGCCCTAACTGGGCAAGAAGCCGCACCCCCAGGTGTCTCGGCGCCGACCTGCACCCCAGGATGGGTCGCCCTCCCAGGCCACCGTCAAGGGCACCAGCAGCAGCACCGTCCCGCACGCACATGCCAGGCACAGGGCCGGTCCCTACGGACCCCCGTGCGGCATGCTCAACACTGACGTTTCTGCTCCCGTGCCCCCAGCAGGACCTCGCGTTCAGGAGGTCTTCGCCGGACTATCAGACCGCTGGCCGACGCTGCCGAGGTCCATCCCCAGGAGCACCACGCGCGCTCCACGCCAGCCGCGGCCGACTGGACCGCCCCGTCCAGACCGCCCCAGCACCCCTTCGCACGCGTTGTGGCATGGGCCGTGGGTTGTTCGCGAACCGACCCCTTCGGCTCCGACAGCCGCCCGCGGCCGCCGGCCTCGACGCCAGCTACACCGCTGTCCCTGTCAGAGCCCAAGCTCGCGCGCACATGCAACGACACCTGCAACACCAATGCGACGACGAGGCCGAACAGGCAGAGGCTGCTCAGGCAGAAGCCGCCAAGGCGGAGGCCGCCCGCGTCGCCCTCGCCAACGCCCATGCGTACGCCCTCAGAGAGATGCAAAGGCAGGCGGACCTCCAGGTCACGCTCCACCAGCTCCTCGCTGCGCACGCGGCCGCGTGCAGTTGCGAGTCGAGTCAGGCATCGGGCCACCAGCGCCCGGGTGCGGGCAGTGGGCCACCAGCGCCCCGTCCCGGAACCGCTTCGCCCCAAACTGCCAACTTCCCGCGGCGGCGCTGCTCGGCCAGCAGCGCCTCGCCGACCACTCTCCGCATGGGGTACCGCGCGGCGGGGTTGCCACGCCCGGGGCGGCGCCTCGCCGCGGCGTCGCTCGGATGCTCCCGCCTCTGGCTGCAAGCCCCCGCTGAAGCGGAGAGGAGGGAGCCGTCGGCCGCCCGAGGACGAGTACGGCGGCGACGGCTCCCTCCTTTCCGCTTGGGCCCCGCCCCCTCCAGTTCTCCCCCTTCCGATTCTGATGTCGATCCGACGTCAGTCCCTCCAGATTCGAATTGCCGCATCGATATTGGGGCTGCCTGCCAAAAGGCCGAAAGGAGTCAGTCAGAGGCCCCTAGACTGGTCAGAGCAGGCGCGAAGAAAGTCCCAAGCGGCAGCACTCATTAGCATACGGCAGACAGCAGCATGATCGTGCACCTGAAAGCTCGAGCGCGGAGCCATCGGATTGTAAGTGTCCCTGCATGGGGGCCGAGAGGGCGGGATTGCAGGGTCCAGAGGTGATGAAAGGATATGCTTGGGGGCCAGACGACCAGGTATTATGCGGCCAAGGGATGGTCCCACGGCGCGTTAGTTCGCAACATGGAAGCTAAGATGTGGAGCTCTAGACTTAAAGGATCACCACTAACCTGTCCGTAAACTGACACGGGTTGTCCTAAGTTGGCAGGTTCCTGAGCATCCGATACTTCAATTTCTAAGTCCTGCGCAACCGCGCAGCGCAGCCCACTGGCCCACTCAAGAGGGGCTTGCGGACTCCGAGATCCAGGACCTGGTGACCCGATATGAGACATTGGAAAGCGCGAACAAGGACCTGATGAATCTCCAGACGCAGTCCGAGAACAAGATTGAGGATCTACGAGGCCAGTACAACAATGACCGGAAGGAGCAGGATCTTGGGCTACTCGGCGTGTCGTTCTTTCTTATGCCCCCCCTCTCTTCCAAGAGGTGGGGCAGAGGAGGGCGGGGGGGGAATGAGGCTAAGGGAGGCGAGGCGGTCCCACGCAGGAGAGGGAAGAGATCGAGATGAGAAATATGATGGACGAGATGAGGAGCAGGCTGGACGAGAAGCAGAAGGCCCGGCAGCACCTGCAGCACGAGGCCGACGCTGAGACGCAGGAGAGCTCGAGACACTCACTGTCTTTTGGCCAGATCCTCATGTCCGTTGAGAACATGTACATCCGCTGCAAGGAGCAGGGCAAGGGTATCCAGCACAACGCTACCAGCATGGAGGACGAGGGTGCCGCGCGGGTGGGCCAGGGCAGCGGGCGGACTGTGGACCCGGAGCAGGATGAGCCCGAGGACTCGTTCAAGAGAAAGAAGGACGAGGCCACGAGGCAGCTAAAGATCATTCTGAGCTATCTAAAGGATTTCAAGGACATCACTGACCAGCTCAAGAAAGGAGGGAAAGCCACGGACCCCCTGAAGCAGCGGCAGGCAATACTGGCAGAGTCCCACGCCTTCTCGGAGGAGGACGTGACGTTCGTCGCTGGAAACAGGGGAGGGAAGGAGCGCTCCAGCCAGCAGTCTGGCTCCCAGGGCAACACCCGGGACCTCAAGGCCCCCCCGAGCAACCCGATCTTAGGCGCGGGTGCGAGCGCTTCGATCGACGCTTGATGCGCGGTCCCTGGCTCCTCCCCCTCGTCGTCTCTCTGCCTTGGACTGCTGCCAGCTCTGCCCTTGCGGGCTCGCGACGCCGTCCTCCTCGACCCTCATTCTGCCCGTCCTTCTACATCGCAGTCTCATCATCATTGTCCTTCCCTCGCCCGACCTCCCACGCCAACGACGCGGGAACACCCTACCGCCCCTCCCGGCCAGAAAGCCACGATAAATAATTGTGTGCCAGTATGGACCCCAAGCAGTTACTCCTCGCATTGCGAAAGCGCGAGCTATGTGATGCAAGCTGCAAGCGACGTGGTGTAAGCTATGTAGTTCAAGCATTGGGGTGCCAGCGACGTTGTGTACGCCATATGCACGCCATGCTGTGTAAGCTACGCAGTGTAAGATCTTTCGTGGGAAGCTACCTGGCTCAAGCTACGTGGTGCAGACGGCTTGTTGTAATCAGTGTTCTGCAGGTTACAGTATACAAGGTACTCGGTGCAAGCTATGTGGTGCAAGATGTGTGGTGCAAGCTATATTGTACAAGCTGCGTGGTGCAAGCCATGTGGTGAAAGCTACGCAGTGCAAACTACATGGTAGAAGCTTTGAATGCAAACTACGTGGAGCAAGCTTTACGGTGTAAGCTATGCTGTGTGAGCTATGTGGATCCCACGAGTCGCTCATGGGCGGCGACGGGGCAAACCAGCCAACGCATGAGTCGCCCACGAGGCGCCCACGGGCGCTAAGGAAGCGAAAGCCCAGACTCCCCAACCTGCGCACGACGCGCCCCCCAGGCGCCCACGGGCAGCAATGCCGCGAAAGTGTGACACTCCCATCCAATTGCTTCAGAACCGAAGTAATAATCATGAAGTGAAGACATTGATTGGGGAACATGGTCGTGGCGATAATTGCGCGCCCCAATTCAGCCGACACGTGGGCGGCCTGAAACGCTTCGGAGTTCAATTCAATGATCGAGCTTTGACAATGCCACTGGCCGTCTCAGGGAGGACCCTATTGCTTCGCAAGGAGCCATGGGCTGAAGCAAAGTGCAGGGATCCAGGGCCAAGCCCATTACTGCAAAGTGCGGCAGCGAGTAATTTTGCTGCACGCGCGCGAGGAAAACCCAAGCTGCATTGTGAAACAATTACCCTGGCGACGTACCCAACCCCTGCGCAATGCGGGGCATGAGTAGCTTGGGAGACGTTATACGGAAGTGATGACGTGACATGGGCTCATATATTTCTGCGAGCGGCATTCGTGAGGCTCGCAGCTCTTCAAGGAGTGCGAGGTCCCGCTCAGATCTGCGTGGTGCCTCACTCCGCTGGACCCGCCACCAGCCTTTGAAAGTGGCGACAGGTTCGCAGATCGCAGCCCCCCAGGCACGGCGAGGTCTTGCTCAGATCCGCGCGGTACCTCACTCCGCTGGACCCACCAGCAGCCCTCGAAAGTGGCGACAGTTTCGCAGATCGCAGCCCCCCAAGCATGGCGAGGTCTTGCTCAGATCCGCGCGGTGCCTCACTCCGCTGGTCCCACCAGCAGCCCTCGGAAGTGGAGACGGTTTCGCATATCGCAGCCCCCCAGGCACGGCGAGGTCTTGCTCAGATCCGCGTGGCGCCTCACTCCGCTGGACCCACCAGCAGCCCTCGAAAGTGGCGACGGTTTCGCATATCGCAGCCCCCCAGGCGCGGCGATGTCTTGCTCAGATGCGCGCGGTGCCTCACCCCGCAGTTCCCACCAGCAGCCCTCGAAAGTGGCGGCAGTTTCGCAGATCGCAGCCCCCCAGGGACGGCGATGTCTTGCTCAGATCCGCGCGGTGCCTCACTCCGCTGGACCCACCAGCAGCCCTCGAAAGTGGCGACAGTTTCGCAGATCGCAGCCCCCCAGGCACGGCGAGGTCTTGCTCAGACCCGCGCGGTGCCTCACTCCGCTGGACCCACCAGCAGCCCTCGAAAGTGGCGACAGTTTCGCAGATCGCAGCCCCCCAGGCACGGCGAGGTCTTGCTCAGATCCGCGCGGTGCCTCACTCCGCTAGGCCCGCCAGCAGCCCTCGGAAGTGCTCAGATCCGCGCGACTCCGCTGGACCCCACAGCAGCCCTCGAAAGTGGCGACAGTTTCGCAGATCGCAGCCCCCCAGGCGCGGCGAGGTCTTGCTCAGATCCGCGCGGTGCCTCACCCCGCAGGACCCACCAGCCCTCGAAAGTGGCGACAGTTTCGCAGATCGCAGCCACGCCAAGCACGGCGGGGTCTTGCTCAAATCCGCGCGGTGCCTCACTCCGCTGGACCCACCAGCAGCCCTCGAAAGTGGCGACGGTTTCGCAGATCGCAGCCCCCCAGGCACGGCGAGGTCTTGCTCAGATCCGCGCGGTGCTTTGCTCCGCTGGACCCACCAGCAGCTCTCGAAAGTGGCGACAGTTTCGCAGATCGCAGCCCCCCAGGCACGGCGAGGTCTTGCTCAGATCCGCGCGGCGCCCAACTCCGCTGGACCCACCAGCAGCCCTCGAAAGTGGCGACAGTTTCGCAGATCGCAGCCCCCCAGGCACGGCGAGGTCTTGTTCAGATCCGCGCAGTGCCTTACTCTGCTGGACCCACCAGCAGCCCTCGAAAGTGGCGACAGTTTCGCAGATCGCAGCCCCCCAGGCACGGCGAGGTCTTGTTCAGACCCGCGCGGTGCCTCACTCCGCTGGACCCACCGGCAGCCTTCGAAAGTGGCGACAGTTTCGCAGATCGCAGCCCCCCCCAGGCACGGCGAGGTCTTGCTCAGATCCGCGCGGTGCCTCACCCCGCTGGACCCACCAGCAGCCCCCGAAAGTGGCGACAGTTTCGCGGATCGCAGCCCCCCAGGGATGGCGAGGTCTAATTTGAATCTGCGCGTCGCCCTCACTGTGCTGGGCCCCCCAGCAGGCCTCGAAAATGGCGACAGTTTCGCAGATCGCAGCCCCCCAGGGATGGCGAGGTCTAATTTGAATCTGCGCGTCGCCCTCACTGTGCTGGGCCCCCCAGCAGGCCTCGAAACTGGCGACAGTTTCGCGGATCGCAGCCCCCCAGGGATGGCGAGGTCTAATTTGAATATGCGCGTCGCCCTCACTGTGCTGGGCCCCCCAGCAGGCCTCGAAAATGGCGACAGCTTCGCAGATCGCAGCCCCCCCAGGGATGGCGAGGTTTAATTTGAATCTGCGCATCGCCCTCACTGTGCTGGGCCCCCCAGCAGGCCTCGAAAATGGCGACAGTTTCGCAGATCGCAGCACCCCAGGGATGGCGAGGTCTAATTTGAATCTGCGTGTCGCCCTCACTGTGCTGGGCCCCCCAGCAGGCCTCGAAAATTGCGACAGTTTCGCAGATCGCAGCCCCCCCAGGGATGGCGAGGTCTAATTTGAACCTGCGTGTCGCCCTCACTGTGCTGGGCCCCGAAGCAGGCCTCGAAAATGGCGACAGATTCCCAGATCGCAGCCCCCCGCAGGCAAGACAGGAAGAGGCAGGGAGGGAGGGAGGAGGAGGAAGGAGTGGAGACCACACTGCTCTATTCAAAACGAATACCCAACCAAGGAGGGTTGGGAATAAAGAAGAGTTGAACTAGAGCGCTCGCGACACTCATCTACCGTGGCCCTCGCAGTTGTGGTAAGAGTGACGCGGCGGCAGGGGTGGTCATGGGCAGCATGCGAGGCTCGAAATCAAATTGTAGAAGCTCGCCGTAGGCGCCATCTTTTTTCATACTAGCCCGCCGCAGGCGTCGATTTGTCGTCAACGATATGGTTCGGTCGCGGGGAGTTCGCGGGTGGGTCGCGGGCGGGTCGGCAGCGAGTCGCGGGTGGGTCGCGGGTAGTTCCCGTTCGGGTCGCAGGGTGGGTCGCGGGCAAGACGGCGACAGCGCAACAATAACCCAACGCAGCAGCAACAACACAGGTTTCCAACTTTGATGCTCAGGCATGATGCATGCACACATCACGATAGCTCCCCCCCATTCACGGGGGAATTACTTCATGCATGGGCGGGGCGATATCCCTCACAAAGATGTCCCGCCCAAGGAGGTCGAGCCAACACCTCGTGACCTTCTGATCGCGCGACACATTGACATAATCGGTGAGTATTTGGGGAACGGAAACTGGAAACACCACAATGAACCGAACTCGCGCCATGCGGTGCGTTCTTTTGCAGGAGATCGCGTGGGGAAGCTACAACCAATCCACCTTACAAGAAGACGCGGGAAGCAGGAATGCGAACAGAAGTGGAAGATGCGGAAAAGGACAGACGGGGAGAGGGAGGGGGACGAGACGAGGAGGACGAGTAGGAGGAACAAGAGGAGACAGCAAACATACACACACGCCTTAGAAGGAACGAGTCCGAAGCCTAGATTATCCGTGACAAGACGATCGACCGAAGCCTCAAGACCCTAAGATCAATCCAGATATTTGCGCTGTCGAAGACAAAGCGCGCGAAGGGGAGATACATCTCGAGATGTTGTGATGGGAATGCTGTGTTCGAAAATGTGGTGCCAGAGCCGGAACCGCCCCAGACACACCTCCAACGCTAGCGATGGATGGTGCCATTACGAGCACAGCCGAAACGAAAAAACTAATGCCCCAGCAGTCTTGATTGACATGCCCTCGGCGAGTGCAGGGGCGAGCGCGCGAAGCGGGCCAGCACGCAAGACCCGGCGACGGATACCAGCCAACAGCATAGCTACCAGCGGCGCTGAAAGAGTTCAGGGGGGAGAATCGAGGGAGGGCCGCAGGCACGCCACGGCTGGGGCAGGCCAGCGCAAACTCACCTGCGTTGGCCAGCACGGCGGCAGCCCGTCAAGGACGCAACCGGAACATGCGGATGGGGGTAGAAGAAGGGGGAGGAGTCGGAGGAGGGGAGGTAGGAGTACAGGCGGCCCGGATTGGTAGGTCGACCTTGCCAGATCAAGAGTACCCTCGTGTCCTGTGTCTTGCGACCCATGATCCCATGCCTCCTGCATTTCTGTGGCAACGTGGCCCCCGGAAGGGTTTTATGTCCTCTCGCGTGTCCTCTCCAACCAA